GGAGATATCTCTAACAATGTTTGGAACATTATACTTACTCACACACTAATCGGCTATCCACTCACGTAAACTAGGGAGCGACCCTAACGTTTTGGGAACATGTATTTTCTTAACAGGGACGTTATTATTTACTATTAATGTTAGTACCATTTTTATTTTTTATTTTTTTAATATATTGTAAAAAGTGATGTCTATTGCTGGTCTATGACCGTAATAAAGGTTTTTTTTTGAATTTGGGGTAAACTTCTGGCTGGTTAGGATAAACAACAGTTACTGTCTTTACGTGACCCAAACAAATGAACTCTGCAATTGTTGGCATGATGGTAAAAATCTTCATTGTGGCAGGTTGTGGTTTCTGCTCTGTGGAGGGTTATCCTGGCGGCCCCTGGACCAGCGAGTTGTGGTAGAGACACAAATGGACATCTGTGGAGGCAACCAACCCACCAGGAGAGCCATGCTTATGCGTTGCTCCGTTAAGAGAACACACTTTATTTTTTTTTATTTATTTATTTAATTTAATTTATATGCCGCCCTTCTCCCGACGGGACTCAGGGCGGCACACAACATATTTAAAACAAAACATAAATACAAATAAACTGCTTTTCAGTTAATATCTGTCCCCTAGGGAGGCCTCCTGTTTTGTATGCAAATTACATTTAAGATGGTTTAATCAAGCAGTCAATCAGTTCAAAGGCGGGCATCAAACCCACTGCAATTTCTGAATGGTTTGGTACAAGAACTGAGTTTGCACCACACACTAGATAGGGGAAAACTGGGGCGCTTTCTGATTCATTTCATTTCGTGGGAAACAAGATCCCTTTAAGTCAGGCTTCCCAGTAGAGATTGCTCAGCCATTGGTCCAGAGTGGGGTGTGTGTGTGTGTGTGTGTGGTTGGACTAGAAAGAGTGCAGAGAAGAGCAACAAAGACGATTAGGGGACTGGAGGCTAAAACATATAAGGAACGGTTGCTGGAATTGGGTATGTCTAGTTTAACGAAGAGAAGGATGAGGGGGGACATGATAGCAGGGTACCAATATCTCAGGGGCTGCCCCAAAGAAGAGGGAGTCAAGCTATTCTCCAAGGCGCCTGAAGGCAGGACAAGAAGCAACGGATGGAAACTCATCAAGGAGAGAAGCAACCTAGAACTAAGGAGAAACTTCCTGACAGTCAGAACAGTTAACCAGTGGAACAACCTGCCTCCAGAAGCGGTGAATGCACCAACACTGGAAGTTTTTAAGAAGAGACTGGACAGCCGTTTGTCTGAAATGGTGTAGGGCTCCTGCCTGGGCAGGGGGTTAGACTAGATGACCTCCAAGGTCCCTTCCAACTTTATTATTATTATTGTTGTTGTTGTTGTTGTTGTTATAGAAGACCTCCAAGGTCCCTTCCAACTCTCTTTATTCGATGCTATTCTGTGAATGAAGCCAGCCAGGGCGTTCCATCACAACTCAAAGCTGAAAGTGCTCAGTTAAACGTAGCCTTCTTACTGGTCTTCCAGGGGGTCCGCCAGCCAGAGACCAGCCCGGGCAGGCCAGGTGCCACCGCCTCCGCCATTGCAGACTTCCGGAGTGGCGCCTCGTAGCCGTTGGAACGTGCTGATTCCCCTTTTCTCCTTTTGTTTTGTTTCTCCCCTATCAGAGCCGCCTTCCCGGCATCAAAGTGAAGTACCTCTTCTTTGCCTGGCTGGGCATTTTTGTGGGCAGCTGGATGGTCTACATACATTATTCGTCCTACTCTGAGCTCTGCAGGGGACACGTCTGCCAGACGATCATTGTGAGTGTTTTCTCTTGGGGTGGGGGGCTCAGCCCCAGGGCAGGGCAGCTTCCAGATGGACCACAACCCCCTTCACGTTGAGTTGTGAGGACAGGGCCTCGCGGTCCCAGGGCCTGCTTGGCAAGGCAGGGAAGCTGTGCCGCCAAGGGGGGGACTTCCGGTGGGAACATGGGGCTGGCTGGGCTCTGGGTTGGGAGGGTTCTTGACAGTTCCTTCATTAGCCTGTTGTTTACTATTTGATTGTTGGTCTATAGATAGTCCTCGTTTTACAGCACTTCGTATAGTGACCGGAGTTACAACAGCCCTGGAAAAAAATGACTTTTTCACACTTACGACCTTTACAGCATCCCCACGGCCATGTGATCAAAATTCAGACACTCGGCAACCGGTTCATATTTACGACCGTCGCTGTGTCCCCGGGGGGGGGTGTCACGTGATTCTCTTTGACGACCTTCTGACAAGCAAAGTCAAGGGGGAAACTAGATTCACTTAACAACCTATCACTAACAACTGCAGTGATTCACTGTGGCAAGAAAGGTCGTAAAATTCACTTTTCAACTGCCTCACTTAGCAACCAAACTTTTGAGCTCAATTGTGGTCATAATGTGAGGACTACCTGTACTATTAGTGTTTCTAGACCAGGGGTAGGCAACCTTGGCCCCTTCATGACTTGTGGACTTCAACTCCCAGAATTCCTGAGCCAGCCACGCTGAGGGGAAAGGGAGAGGTTTCCATGCTGAGCCAGGCTAGCTCAGGAATTCTGGGAGTTGAAGTCCACAAGTCATAAAGCGCCCTAGGCCTAGGCCAGAGGACTTCAACTCCCAGAATTCCTGAGCCAGCACAGCTCAGCATGGAAACCTCTCCCTTTCCCCTCAGCATGGCTGGCTCAGGAATTCTGGGAGTTGAAGTCCACAAGTCATAAAAGAGCCAAGGTTGCCTATCTCTGGCCTAGGCCTAGGCCGCTTTATGACTCATAGACTTCAACTCCCAGAATTCCTGAGCCAGCACGGCTCAGCTTGAAAACTCACTCTTTCCCCTCAGCATGGCTGGCTCAAGAATTCTGGGAGTTGAAGTCCACGAGTCATAAAAGAGCCAAGGTGGCCTACCCCTGTTCTAGACCAACAGTCAAACAGTAAACAATCAAGAAACCAGCAACTCAGACAAACAATCCAACAGTAATTAACAGCCTAATCAAGGGACCACTAAAAACATTCCCACCAACGCTGATGGGGCAAACCATGGTATATAAATACAGAGTAAACCCCCTCCCTCCTAGCACTGATGATGTTACCTAGTTGGGTCATGAAATGTCTGCAAGAAAACAACTAAGCTCAGAGACCACCAAGAACCCCACACTTCAATCGTTCTGCTGATGGCACATGTCCCTTGGCAGGCATCTGGGTTGTGCTGCATGACGGGTTCAGCTCAGACTGCTATTCCTGTTTTTGGTGGCTATTAAATATCAAGTTCCCGTTTCTGGCTTTTTCTGACAACTCAAGTTCTTTCCTGGTAAAATCTAAAAAGGCAAGCAAAAGGGACTGCTTTGCACTTATGGACAATTAAAAGCAAAAGTTCCTGTTTCTGACATCGCTCCCTTCGTGGTGCTCATTGCCAGATGATGCGTGCAGAGCTCTCGGTGCTCCGATTTAATCCTGGTGAAATAAAGCTGCACCTGACTTGAAGAGAGGTTCACCACAGCAGCAATGCATGCCAAGATTTGGAACAGCAAACACGGTTTATTCTCCTCTCCTGAGTGTGAAATGCCTTGACGCTGCAACAGGAGGAAACATTTATTTATTTATTGACATTTATAAGCCACCCGCCTCCTTAATCAGCCTGGGCAGCAACCAAAACAAAAACAAGACAATAATCCATAAAACAACGGCATCTCCTACACACAAGTGACCAGAGCCGGCGGCTTTGAGAAATGCAAAGAAAGGACTCTCCCTGTGTCACTTGTCTGGAATGGTACTATAGGTTCTCCTGCTTGAGCAGGGGGCTGGACTAGAAGACCTCCAAGGTACCATTCTATTCTGTTCTGTTCTATTCTCTGTTCTCTGTTCTGTTCTTCTCTTCTGTATTCTATTCTGTTCTGTTCTATTCTATTCTATTCTCTGTTCTGTTTTTCTCTTCTGTATTCTCTTTTGTTCTGTTCTGTTCTATTCTATTCCTATTCTCTATTTTCTTTTCTGTATTCTGTTCCATTCTATTCTTCTCTTCTGCATTCTCTTCTTTTCTCTATTCTCTGTTCTCTATTTTCTGTTCTGTTCTTCTATATTCTCTTCTGTTCTATTCTTCTCTTCTGCATTCTCTTTTCTTCTCTCTTCTCTCTTCTCTGTTTTTTGTTCTGTTCTTCTCTTCTGTATTCTGTTCCAATCTATCATTCTCTTCTCTGTTCTCTATTTTCTGTTCTGTTCTTCTCTTCTATATTCTCTTCTGTTCTATTCTTCTCTTCTGCATTCTCTTCTCTTCTGCATTCTCTTCTATATTCTATATTCTCTATTTTCTGTTCTGTTCTTCTCTTCTGTATTCTGTTCCATTCTATTCTTCTCTTCTGCATTCTCTTCTGCATTCTCTTCTCTCTTCTCTTCTATATTCTGTTCTGTTCTATTCTTCTCTTCTGCATTCTCTTCTCTTCTACATTCTCTTCTCTATTCTCTATTTTCTGTTCTGTTCTTCTCTTCTGTATTCTGTTCCATTCTCTTCTGCATTCTCTTCTGCATTCTCTTCTCTAGTCTCTAGTCTCTATTTTCTGTTCTGTTCTTCTATATTCTATTCTGTTCTATTCTTTTCTTCTGCATTTTCTTCTCTTCTCTTCTCTCTTCTCTTCTGCCCTGCTCTGCCCTGCCCTGCATCAGGAAAGGCTGTCCCTTGTCCACTTGTGAGTGGAAAGGAGAGACCTTCGAGGGCTTGCAATCTTCCACTTTTACTCCAGGGGACTTCCCACCCTCTGTGGCCCCATGAGGAGGCTGAGCTATAAGACGATGATGATGTTCACCAGGATTATGCCCAGCCCATCACAAGAGTGAAATCCCATGCAGGGCCAGCATGGAAAGCAGCCATTCACTTAATCTCTAGCCAGTTTAACCCCGAAAATGCCTGGAGAGAGAGGAATGGTTCAAGTTATCTTCTTGTGGCTTGACCTTTGGCGATCCCTCTAGCAAATTTGCCCCATTTTATGACCTTTCTTGCCACAGTTGTTAAGTGAATCACTAGTTATTAAGTGAATCTGGCTTCCCCATTGACTTTGCTTGCCCAAAGGTTGCAAAAGGGGTCACATGACCACCACCCCAGGACACCGCCACCATCATAAATATAAGTTAATGGCCAAGAGTCCGAATTTTGATCATGTGACCATGGGGATGCTGAAACATCGTAAGTGTGAAAAACGGTCATAAGTCAACTTTTTTCAGTGCCACTGTAACTATGAAGAGTCACTAAACTGTTGTAAGTTGAAGACTTCCTGTATTTAACAACTGATAAATTTACCCAGCATCCTTTTTTTTTAATTGATTGAGGCAGTTTCTCAGTATTGATAAGTAGATAAAATATTTGTAACCCAAGTTTATAAGACAGGAAGTGCTCATGATTCCTCGTCATCCCGGCAAAAGGGATGCTCAGTGTTTCCCCCTCTCTCTTTCAGTGCGATCAATACAACAAAGGCATCATTTCGGGATCAATGTGCAAAGACCTTTGTGAGGACCACACCTTGGTCTTTGAACACTGCTTGTCACCTTCTCCCACCCAGCAGGTAGGTCCTGAGGAACCGTGTGCATGTTTTATGCTGAGGACAAGCTTCTTGTTTAGGACGGGCTGGGCCATCTCTGGAAGGATGTGGAAAAACTCTTTTTCAGAAAAATAACTTCAGAGAACTGAAAAAATATGTAGCCTGGTCAACACGGAATTGTACTCCAAGATAATATTTTTGATCTGTAAGAGAACTCCAGTTTTCTGGGGTTTTGGCAGGTCTGTCAGGGAAGATTTCATAATCTCTTCTCCAAGTTTACATCTGAAATTGAAAGGACCCGCCTCAACTAGATCCCCCAAGAAAGCAGAACTCTTGAAACAGGCATTGTTTCAAAAGGAACTTTTATCGAGAGTCAGCGATAGCAGAAGAGCAAAGCAAGGTCTGAATATTTCATGCGCGAAAGGTTCCATCAAATGGCTCATTCAGGTCTCCTCCCACCAGTGTCCAACCGTCCATTTGAAATCCAGCCAATCCATAGGGGCTAGGTTGTTTTGAGAACCTAGTGATCTAGTGCCCATCTCAAGCTCTCTCTTGGTTTTGTTTCCCAACGGTCCCAGGCTCCGTTGTCTGGAGATAAGGCAGATGTTTTTCAGGCCACATTCCTTTCTCATGGAGGGAGGGCAAAGCAGAGCAAGGCAAACACATTCCCCAACCAACAATCCCCCTCCCAACAGAATGGAAGACCCCAAAAATGAATACATAGACATAAGCAGTAAACAGTAGGCAAATCTATTGGAGGGGTCCTGACAGAAATCTTGTCCTTAAAAAGACTGCAATGACATGATAGCAGTCTTCCAATATTTGAGAGGCTGCCACAAATAAGGCAGGGTCAATCTATTCTCCAAAGCACTTGAAGGCAAGACAAGAAGCAAAGGATGGAAACTATTCAAGGAGAGAACCAGTCTAGAAATAAAGGAGACATTTCTTAACCGTGAGAACAATTACTCAGTGGAACAGCTTGTCTTCAGAAGTTATGGAAGTTTTCAAAAAGAAATTGGACAGCCATTTGTCCAGAATGACATAAGGTGTCTTGCCTGAGCAGGGGGTTAGACTAGAAGACCTCCAACTCTGTTCCCTTCCAACTCTGTTAGTCTGCCATTTTATTCATTAAAAAGTTACTATTCGGGGTCTACAGCTGTTACCTAGGGATATCGTAGGGACATCCAGATGCTAAGAGTAACCTGTTGCTGATCCCTGGCTTAAATTAGACATGAAGTGGGACAGGATGAGATTTAGGAGAGTCAGAAGCAACTCGGATCTGACAGGTCTCCAAGTGGGAGGAAACCAGTACAGGGAGTCCTTGACTTACAATCAGACACTGAAAAAGGGATTCGTAAACACAGATTCAAAGTTCTGACATTCCTCTCGCTGTGTAAGGACCCACTTCAACCCCACATCTTAAGAAAGCAGAACTCTTGGAAATAATTTCCTCCAACAGGAACTTTTATTAAGAGTAGTTGATAGCAGGCATAATAGACAGGATCTGAGGGATTCCTTACAGATCAATACTTTAAAGTGTCCCCAAGCAAAACCCACCCCACAGTTCATCCGGGCGGTTCAAAACCGGCCAATCCCCAGGTGTTAAGTCCATCGTGGGAAAAGGGGAAATAACATCGATTTGGCTCTGGTTGCAGTGTGATGTTCAAGCGGCTCTTCGCACCTCCTTTTGAGAAATGGAGAGATAAGCCAGGCTCCAGAGGTTGGATTTCTTTCTCCCGCCCCCCCTTTTCCTAGCTGACAGGTTAGGGAGAAGAAAGTTCAGAGGGAGATACAGTGCAGGAAACAATATGTTACATTGTAGCGACCAGTGGACACAAGCAGTAAACAAAGCAAAAGGTTACATTGTAGCGAAGAGGAAGTGAAAGCAATAACCCCCTCCCCCTTGGGAGTATGGCAGAACCCAGGGAAAGGTGAGATTTGTTTTTAGATCAGAGGGGATAGATAGAAATGAAATAAAAATGGATTCTGACACCCTGAAGTCATATGATTGGGGTTATCCAAATATGTTTACAAGGGAACGGTCACATGACTGTGATTCGCAGTTATTTTCTAAAAGCCAGCATTTACAAACACAGTGCCCCGTAGTGTACAATGGGTTCAAGTCAACAGTCACCACATCCGTTTAACCAGTGCTGCATTTTCTTTGCAACCGCCGCATTCGTTTAACGACCGCCACAAAAAAGTCATAAAATTGGGCACGGTCACAGGACGATCCACTTTGCAAATGTCACGATTTACCAAAGTTTCTGGGCTCAATCACAAGAATAAGTCGGGGTTATGTACGTTGTAAGTCTCCGGCTACTGAGGTTGAGGCAGCTAATGCAATCCAGGCACTTTTTTTTGTTGTACCTTGCAGGTCTACAGCGGCCTCTGGAAGGAGAAAGAGGTGATTATCAAATGTGGCCTGGAAGAAGCGCTGAAGGCCGACAGCAACCCAGATGCAGACCCCAGGAGAGACGTGGTTCTCTTCAACAAGCCAACAAGGGGGACATCTATGGACGAATTCCGGGAGATGCTTCTGAATTTCTTGAAAGTGAGTGCCTCTCCATTCCTACTGTATTTCCCCGAAAAGAAGACCTAACCGGAAAATAAGTCCTAGCCTGGTTTTTCAGGATGCTCGTAATATAAGTCCTACCCCAAAAATGAGCCCCAGTGAAGGGGCTTTAAGGAAGACCTTAAAAAGCTGGCTTCAGTTCTTCCCAAGAATTGGGTGGGATCCGTTGAGGCTGAAGCGCAGGCACTGTGCGTATTTATGCACCAGGGAGTGTTGTTGTAGGGTACCAGGAGCTTTTGGGGGATGTTGAATTTTTGGATTGTGTGTATCTTGTTGTGTGTTGTGTTTCTTGTTGTTGTCATGAGCCACTTATAGGTAGGAAAAGACGGGCAGCTATATACGTTTCTTAAATAAATCCCTATTTTATATGCCATTGACTTCAACTAAAATAAGAAGAGTGGGGATCAAATAGATGGAAGAGACACTCTGTAAGGTCTAGCTTTTAGCCTAGATGTTAGGCCTCCATGTTTGCTACGCTTCCTCTTTTGGTCACACCTCCTCCTCTTCTTCCAAAGATAATCAACAACGGAGGGAAACTTCCCAGCTGCAATGGCTGCTCCTCCACCCTGCCCCTGCGGCCCGAAACGCTGCCTTCGCTGCTCAAAACACTGAGTACGATGCTGTTTCCCCCTCCAGCAATGTCCTTTCTTCCTCCACACTCCTCCAGACATTGCAACTGATCTCTCACCCTCCGTGTCGACCGCCGGCATCTCCGTCCTTGATTTTCTCCTCCTTAGTAATCCGAGGCCATGCAGGCTCTCCCAAACAGTTTTCTCCACCCTTCCTTTCACGCTGAATTTCTTCGTCTCCAATATGGACTGACATTCATATGAAAGTTTAGCAGCCCAACTCAGCTTAGCTGTCCCTATTTCTGAAAAGTGTTTCAGTCCGGATCGTTCATTTCCCTCCCTAACCCCCACACTTTTGAGAGCTGAAGCAGCCGCAGCCAAGCAAGGCGCCGCCATCTTAAACAAAGATCAAATGGTTTGGACCCAAAGGGTGCCCACCTGGCATCTAGTAAGACAGGCAGAAACCATCTGGGACTTATCCCAGGTCCCCAAGTAACCTGGCCCCGTGAGCTTTCAAGCTGAAAACATGCCATCATTTGGTAAATACCCATTTACCTCTCAACATTCAAAGTCTCCCCAAGCCTCAAACAGTTGTCCCATTTTGGGTTTGGCTAATCTAGAGAAAAGAAGGTCTAGAGAGTGACATGATAGCAGTATCCCAGCATTTGAGGGGCTGCCACAAAGAAGAGGGGGGGGGTCAACTTATTTTCCAGAGCACCAGAAGGCAAGACAAGAAACAATGGATGGAAACTAATCAAGGAGAGAAGCAACCTGGAATTAAGGAGAAACTTCCTAACAGTGAGGACAATTAACCAGTGGAACAGCTTCTGTCCAGACGTTGTGGGTGCTCCATCACTGGAGGCTTTTTAAAAGAGACTGGACAGCCACTTGTCTCAAATTGTATAGGGTCTCCTGCTTGAGCAGGGGGTTGGACTAGAAGACCTCCAAGGTCCCTTCCAGCTCTGTTCTATTCCAAATGTCCCTCCCTGTTTTACCATGTTGTATGTGAGGTCCTCACAAGATGTCTTGCATTGTTGTTTTCACAGGCTGGTCTTGGGGATCAAGCCTCCCTCATCAACTTGGTGAACCAGATTATCGCCATGGCCGACGTCAGTCGGGACGGGAAGCTTTCTCTGGCCGAAGCGAAATCAATCTGGGCGCTTCTGCAGCTGAACGACTTCCTGCTGACCTTCTCCCTGCACGAGAAGGAGCACACCCCCAGGCTGCTGGGGCACTGTGGCGATCTGTATCTCACGGAGAAGATCCACCACACCTCCCTCTACACCATGGACCTTCCTCCCTTCCTGCAGCCGCTGCTGCCTTCTGCCCTCCTCAGGATCGTCCACCAGTGGTTCTCCCCCGCCTGGCCCCGGCGAGCCAAAATCGCCATTGGACTTCTGGAATTTGTGGAGGAGATCTTCCACGGGACCTACGGCAACTTCTACATCTGCGAGGCCGGCTTCACCCACATGGGCTACAATAACAGATATGACTTCAAAATGGTGGATCTCAGGACGGTGGCCACGGAGATGACCATCCAGGGGTTTCTCAAGGGCCGTCACTGTGAGCAAAACGCGGACTGCACGTACGGGAAGGACTGCGTGGCGCCGTGCGATAAGCTCATGAAGCAGTGCAAGAGCGATGTGGTGCAGCCCAACCTCGCCAAGGTTTGTGGGCTCCTGCTGGAGTACCTGCTGCACGGGGCCCCGAGTGACTTGAAGGAGGAGCTGCAGAAGCAGCTGAAAACGTGCACCACGCTCAGCGGCCTGGCCAGCCAAATGGAGGTGCACCACTCGCTGGTGCTCAACAGCCTCAAGACCCTCTTGTGGAAGAAAATCTCAAACACCAAATATTCTTAGAGGACCCTGGGAAGCCCAAGGACAAGGCCAGGGAGGGTGCCCCCCTCTTCCCATCTTGGTCTCCGAGTGAGTGCGCCACGGGGGAGCCACGCAGCCTCCACAGACAGAACATTTTGGGATGGGGAGGGATGAGAAAGAAAAGCAGTTTTTGTGGAACTGACGGGGATCTCCAGGTGAGCCTAGCTGGGGTGAGGAGAGGACAATTGTCTATCTGATGTAAATAAATGGTCTCTCTCTCCCTCTCATGACTTCTGCTTCAAGGACATGATGGCTGATGCCTCGCTGGGGGAGCTAATTCAAAACAAAGGTTGGATATGTTTTGTGGGATCCATGCTGTCAACTCTCAGGCTGGCTTCCAACAGCTATAGTTTTATAGTACATGGATTTCAGTTCCTTTAGTTAACCGAAATGCAATGCATTGTGTCAACCCAACAATCAGGTTAATCCAACAATCAGGTGAAGGCGTACTGTGTGATGAAGCCAAATGTAGGCAATTCTCTGACCGAGCGTCATTCCTCGCCATGAGCTGAAAAATTAGATTCCTTAGCTTCAGGAGACGGGCTCACTTCCAGCTCAGCAGCAGTCCACACATTCACCAGGCCCTAAATAGAATAACTCGATGTTGTGGTATATGGCAAAGACCACTTGCTGAAAGGCACGGGAGGAATTCTGCACTCAACACCGAAAAAGGCCGGCTTTGCCTCCAGGCTCACCGCGGACCCATGCTTTTCAGTCTCAACCCCCTCTTGTGCCTTCATGTCTATTTAGAAAAGATGACTGTGCTGGCTCTTTCCTGGAAGGAAGCAGAGCTGAGCCAGCTATAGAGGTAATCCTTGTTAAATGAGTCATTTTATAACCTTTTGGCAACATTAAACAAAACACTCCAGTTGTTAAGTGCAAACGGGTAAGTGAAACCGACTTCCCCCACTGCTTTTGCTTGTCACACCCCGGCTAGGAAGGTTCCAAATGGCAATGGCCTGACCCTGGGATGTTGCGACCATCGTAACCATCACGTGCTGGTTGCTAAACGCCTGAATTTTCATCATGCCACTGGCTGCCGTCATACGTCTGAGGACAGTGGGGTTACCGTCCATCTAGAGTAATGGTGGCGAACCTATGGCACGCATGCCAGAGGTGACACTCAGAGCCCTGTGGGCACCCACGTTGCCGCTGCCAGTGGCTTGCGCAGGTCCATTAGGCCATGGATCCCCATCGGTGCTATGGTCCCCCAGTCCGTTAGGATTGCATGCCTCCCCCCATCTATGCTGGGCCTCCTGCCCACTGCCCCACCCATCAGAGACCCCCTGGATCTCCCCCAACCCTGCCCGGCCCCCACAGGCGTCCCCATGAATCAACAAAAGGTTACTTTGTAATGAATAGAGGAAGTGAAAGTAGTAAAACCCAAATGCATGCCCCCCTCCTCAGTAGTATTGGCAGGACCCAGGAGATAGTAATAATTGGTTTTAGATTAGAGATCATAGAAAGGAAATATAACTGGATCCTGACATCCTGCCCCCCTTAAAAATAAAAAAAAAAACCACCGGGGGTTCACCCTGAGCTGTCGTCTGAGGCATCCACTGGCCCTGCGGTGTAGGCTGGAGTTCTTTCCCCATGATGGGCAGGGGTAGGGGATTCCACAGCCTCTATCACTCTCATGGCAGATTATTTTGGCTTAGCTGGGGACTTCCCGGATTTACTGGCCGGTGATCTGTCTGGGTTGTGCTGGGGGGCTTTCGAGCTGCATTCTACAGCCCGATGCCTCTCTCTCCTGCACTTGAAACAGCCCGTTGGCTTCTTGGCCGTAGCCGGTGGCTTCGCTGGTTCGCGCAAAATATAACTGGATCCTGACAGACAGCCACATCCAGAGCAACCCCCCCCCCCAGAAAGAAGCCCAGGTGGGATAAGCACAGTGCAGAATCAAAACTTGCAGAAGTCGTCATAAACAAAGAAGCCGTTCTGATTGAGGGCAAATTTATTTGCAACTTCTTAATAAACATAGTTCCATTCTACTCTGCACTGGCCAGCTTTCCCTAGAATTGTAAGGACCTGCCTCAGTTATCTCAGGAAAGTATGGCTCTTCAAACAGGTGGTGTTAAGTCAGGTGGAATCATTCAAACCCCACCCAGATACCCCAGCCCACCGGTAGCCAATACAATGCTGCACAGGTATTTTGAGAACTCCGAAGTGTTGGGGCGATAAATGGTTCATCCTTGGGGCGCTGCGACCATGGTCACAGACTGGTGAGAGCATGCACGGAATTCTACTCCAACAACCAGCCCCTCCCCATCTGAATGGCAGCGTCCTGAAGGGCCCCCCGACAAAAATACTGGATTTAATTCCAGAATTTTATATTCGAGGAAGGACAATAATCCCAGGCCGGGTGAGCGAGGGGTGGATGGAACCGCTGCGGTTTCTCTCTTGGGCTGCTTTTGGAGCCGTGCCATGACCCCCTCCCCTCAGAGGCCGCTTCGGAGGAAGAGGAAGAATTGGAAGTGGGACCCTCCACCAGGGAAGGCACGCCAGGGGCTGAGGACGATGCTGTCCTGTGCCCCTCAGGCATTAGGGGAGATGGTTGACCAGACGGAGAGCTGCCTGCCTGCGCAGACACGGGAGGATCGGCTAATGACTAGCAATGGTGCTGAAAGGCACCACATCTCCTCTGAGGAGCTGCCTGCTCCACTTGATCCAAGGGCAAGGAGAGTGGAGTGGAGGCAAGCCCAGAGAAGGGCTGCAAGGTTTCTTGGGAGGTTGCCCCACCCCTCCTCACAAGGAACACCTGGAGGGGAGTAACTTCAGCCTACAGACTGCCCTCCATGTGTTAGTTGCTTCTGCTGACCGGCTTTAAGCTCCTTGCCTGGCTGAGTGGACAGTTGGGAGCGGGCCGAGGCTCGTGGGGGCACTACTTGCTGTCCTGAACTGCCTTTCTTTGTCCTGAGAGCTGGGCAACCCCATAAGGAAAATGGGCAGCGACAATGCCCATTTCTTTTGCTCCCTCATGAAAGGTCTGGTCATCAAAGATTGTATGGTCAGATCTTCTCCAGAAAGGGGCCTTTGGGTGCGCCAGCCAGGAAGAGGGCTTCGTCCGTTTCTAGTCCCCAGCTTCGGAGAGTCTTCAGAGCTCGGGCCCCGGAACTGGCAGCGCTTCGAGCCGTGAGCAGATAGGTGCGGATGGGGCATTCCAGGCGGAGGCCTTTGGCGTAGAACTTCTTCTGAAGCTTCCCCAGCACTTCCAGGAAGCCCTTCAGTGGACCCTGGACAGAGGAACACACAGCGTCAGCCCCAGCATGTGGCCCACTCCACAGGTGGTCAGGAAATGGGGACCAGCTCATGCACAGCACCCCTGGGGAGGCCCCGGGGCCAGAGGCTTCCCTGCCCTCACCCTAGCCATGCAGAGATGCCCTCCTGTTCTTTGAATTTGTCAATCCCTCTTTGGGTCTAGTATAAATTGTTACGCTGAAATGGTGTTGCTATCTTGCTTCCTGCTTTACTACCGACTTTGTTGGTATTCAGAATGTTTCTTCTCGCTTTGTTCTAGCTCAGGGGTAGGCAACCTTGGCTCTTTTATGACTGGTGGACTTCAACTCCCAGAATTCCTGAGCCAGCCACGCTGAGGGAAAAGGGGGAGGTTTCCAAGCTGAGCCGTGCTGGCTCAGGAATTCTGGGAGTTGAAGTCCACCAGTCATAAAAGAGCCGAGGTTGCCTACCCCTGGGCTAGATGATCAGAGGGAATTATTAGCAATAACACATAAATCTGCTAAACCTTTACTAAAGCTGGCCCACCACAACTGCTCAAGAAAATAGGACTTATCTTGATAAACCATCTGCTGGTTCTTCTTCTATTTTGATATGCAGTAGAGACATGGAATAGAACAGTGGTCTTCAAGCTTGGCCCTTTTATGACTCGTGGACTTCAATTCCCAGAATTCCTGAGCCAGCCACACTGAGGGAAAAGGGAGAGGTTTCCAAGCTGAGCCATGCTGGCTCAGGAATTCTGGGAGTTGAAGTCCACCAGTCATAAAGCGCCCTAGGCCTAGGCCAGAGGTAGGCAACCTCGGCTCTATGACTCGTGGACTTCAACCCCCAGAATTCCTGAGCCAGCCATGCTGAGGAGAAATGGAGAGTTCCATGCTGAGCCAGGCTGGCTCAGGAATTCTGGGAGTTGAAGTCCACCAGTCATAAAAGAGCCAAGGTTGCCTACCAGTTCTAGCTGAAGTGTTCCTTAGCAGGGCAGCCATAAAAATCATCCTCTCTCTTGGCAAAAACCACCATGAAAAGGTCGATTTTGTCACAATGCCACTGGTCCCCGAACCACACCAGAGCAAGAGGCTTGTTCTCATTAAGTCTTCTCGGGCTCGAAGAACTTGTCTAGGCCCTGAGCCTTCACGATCTGCTCCGACTCGTTGGAAAACAGCACAGCATCTCCATCAAAGGCGACACGAAGCTGCTTCTCCGAGACCTGCACATCTTTCTTGGGGGTGAAAATAGTGGCAGCTGCCATCCCTGGCGAGGGAGGGAGGGAGGGAGACCTCCTTCAATTCATGTTGCCTGATGCTCTCTAGTTGGAGCAAGAACCTCACAGACTTCAGCGAGGCCTATTTAACGCTAGTCTGGGGATAACCAAGAGAATTTGAGAAATAGGAAAAGGAACATCCAAGTCTCATTTATAATGGCAAAATCTCTGAATGATTTGAAATGCTTCTTACTACCTGGCTATTCCTCCATAAAAGGTTAAATTTGCCACTTCAAAGTAGCAAAAAGATGGGAATTTCTCCCCTTCAGGAAAGTTGATAGGTAGGACAGAGAAAATCGATGTTCTTACCCAGATTCAAGCACAGTGTTTACGATCAGCTTAAAATAGTGCTTTTGACTTCCGTTGCTTGCAGCTTGGGCTAGTTCGGGCTAGCCTTTCTCCTGTTGGTTTCTAGAAGGCTTCTCCTGGACCGGGTCGACCGCCATCTCTCCTAGGTCCTTGGGACTTACTTCCTTCATTGCCACCTCTCTGGGGCGGCTTCTGGCTCATTTAGGATCCCCTAAGAGGAAGAAACTCAGCTGGAGGGCTCGGAGTCCCGAATCCCTCAACTGCTTCGCTGCGTGCAGGAACCGGAAGCCGGTAAGATGCCTTCCTTATCTTTTTCTCGTCTTTGCTCCAGTCAGCAGGAGAGGGACCAGGAAGTGCAAACTGTTCCGTGCACCAGTAGCTGCTTCTGAACACTCAGTGCCAGGCTCATCCAGGCATATTTCAATTATTTTCCTCTGTGAATGCAACAAAACCTGCATAAGTCACATACTACCATTCCTTTAGTTCAACATGGTAGACGCAAACAGTATAATACAGTGGTTCTCATTTGGGGTCGATCGACCATTTCATGGGGATCGCCAAGCAAGGCTGTCTGCCATTTTTTTTGTCCATTTTTTTTGTCTGCCATTTTTTTCCCCTTTTCCAGCGGGCTGGGCCAGCTGGTGGTCGGCCTGCTCCGTCTCTGCCACTTGCCAGCTACGCCTCGGCTGGCGCAGGGGGCGGAACCACACATGCGCGGCGCTCCCAGGCAGGGAAAGTCCTCGACTTACGACCGGTTGGGTAGTCCTCAACTTATGACCAGTTTAGTCCTCAACTTGCGACCGGTTTAGTCCCCGACTTGCGACCGGTTTAGTCCTCGACTTACGACCGGTTGGGGTCGCGGCATTAAAAAGGTTGAGAACCACTGGTATAATACATGGGTGTCAAACTGGCAGACCACAGGCCATGCCCACCCCAGTTCCGCAAAGGCAAAAAAACCCCCATCACATGATGCAATTGAGTACGCTGGGCAGAAAGCGAGGGCCTGGCCATCCGTCCACTGCTGCCAGTTCAGCAATTAAATAAAGCTCTCTGGTGCTTTATTTTTATTCGTTAAATTTGCCACCTCCCTCACCGTGGGCCCACTCTAGGCGGCTTACAATAATAAAAAGGAAGAAACACGAAAGGTCTGTGAATAGACATAAAAGCATGTTCCAAAGGGTGGGCAATGCGGCGCCTCTTGTTCTAGTTCACGATAAGTTTTTTGACCAGCGGGATCTGAAGCTGTGCCTGCACAAGTAGGTGTGTGTAGCTGCGGGGAGGGTCAGGAGGCCCCAGAGAGAGAGGGTAGGTAAGTGATACACAGGATTGCAACTGCTGAAGAGAGGAGGGAACAAGCACCAATTTCACTCAATTCACTCCATCCATATTTTGCTTTAGCCAAAACTCAAGACTCAAAGCGTCCCTGTCGTGGCTCCATAGGATCCCACTTTGGAGGAGTTGGAACCTGTATGGCACGGTTGCCTTGGAAGGAGCATAGAATCCAAGGGCCAAGGACAAGGCAGTCCCAGGGCCATCCAGCCGTGGGAGGAGGGGAAGGTGACCAACCAGGAGATGCACCTGTAGGAGATCACCTGCTGTGGAGGGCCAGTGGAGATGACAGGCTCCAGACCACCTCTGATAAGGACCATCCCTGATGAGGAACAGCTCCTCTGCCAATCCAAGGACACAGAGAGCAGTGGAAGGAAGCAGAGGTGTGTTTGCCGGAAACACCTGTTTGTGTTGGTGCACACCTTGCTGGCTTTCGTAGACTTTCTTGAACCTTCAACTGTGTTTTTGGGCTCTGGACCTCAGGACTTTGTGAACTTCAAACTTGCCTTCCTGTCTTTGGAATTTTGGACCCTGCTTTGGCTTTCAGAATCTTAAGCTGTGTTGTGAGGACTGGGATTCTGTGAGCTGTCTGGTCCTTGTGCCTCGGAATCCAGTTTGTGGAACTGAGTGGTTCTGGCAGAGGGGGACTATGGATAGGGAAAGTGTGGTGGAGCTTTACCAGCCCCACTGGAGAGTTGTTGGGACACTGTGAGTAATAAACTGACTTTAACTAACACCTGCCTCGCCATCTTGGGTCAGGTCACAACAGTCCCAAGTTTTCAATTTGCTGAACTGAGGAAGACCCGAAACAGTTCAGAATAACTATTGGAATTGAATTCCATATTCAAAATGAAACGTATTTTCTACTTCATGAACACCTCTTATGGCGCTCAGAAAACATTTGTGACCAAAAGAGAATAAAGGCTTCAAATCAACAGATGAAGACACCAAAAAAATGTTTTGGGAAAGTGCTTAATTCAATTCTCCCTGTCTTAAAGAATGCACAATCTGCCAAGAGCAATTTTTGTGAAGTTATTACAGCATCAAAATCCATTTGAACACTCACAATACTACAGTACAATCTTACCTTTCAGAGCACATTTTAAACATCTGTTAAAGGGCCAGCATCACGTCCCTATAAACAAAGTGGTTTAGTTAATTTGGATTCAAATCATTGCTGTCAATGATTCAACAAAAACATGCTTTTTGAAGATTCCTAACATCGTGGATGAACGGAAACCTGATAAATACTCCAAGACTGACTTTCATTTTCTAAAGTTAAAAGAGCAAGTGAAGTACTAGAAATGGTAGTGTGTGTTCCTGTTCATTTGGGGGGGAAAAAGCTGAACTTAGTACTCTTGGAAATAGTTTACACACACAGTCCTCCTCCTTTCCTGGCATCCAGTCCAGACTTAAATAATATTTGAGGATCAGCCCCTACAAAGGATCAAAAGAAAAGTTGCAATTTTGTCAGGCTAGTAATCATTCTGAGTTGCCCACCCATCAGAGCACTGAGCGTAGACCCAGCCTGCTTCTCTGTGCCACCTATTGACACAAACACAGCACAGAAGCCATGCCTGCAACGCCTGTAGGGGCAGCCCCCAACCCCGGGAATGCCTTCGAGAACAGGACAATCTGCAGGTGCCTCCCTTGCGGTCACTTTAGATTTGCAGGTACGCTCACTGCCTCTCCCTCTTTTAACATCTCTCATTTTGCCATGAAGCTCCATGAACCCCCTCCTGTGAGCTGGCCTTACCAGTGTCGCCAAGGCCTCTTTTTCCTAGCCGGTTACTTCTGAAAAGGTGGTTAGCTGAAACAGCTGCACGCGCAACACCTGGATGGGCAACGATCTCCCAGGAAGTCAGACTCATCCCTGCTCAAGGGAGGACCTCCTGGACACATGGGAGGCTTCACTCCTACAACAGAATGAAAAAGAAAAAAGTGAGACCAAACCAGCCATTCACACCCACAGTTATTTATAATTCCAAGTGGGGCTCATAGCACAAACACTTGCGAGAAACTTAATTGCACCAGAGGCTAAGACAAGAAATGATGAAGACTAATCCAGGAGAGAAGCAACCTGGAATTAAGGAGAAACTTCCTGACAGGGAGGACAATTAACCAGTGGAACAGCTGGCCACCAGACATTGCAGGTGCTTCATCACTGGAGGCTTTTTAAGAAGAGACTGGACAAGCCACTTGTCTACTCTCCTCCTACTCTATCTCTAATTCTCCTATTCCACCACTACTCCCTACTCTACTCCACCTCTCCTCCTACTCAATTTCTCCTACCCTGCGGGTGCTTCATCACTGGAGGCTTTTAAAGAGACTGGACAAGCTACTTGTCTACTCTCCTACTCTATCTCTACTCCTACCCTATCTCTAATTCTCCTATTCCACCACTACTCCCTACTCTACTTAACCTCTCCTACTCAACTTCTCCTACCCTGTGGGTGCTTCATCACTAGAGGCTTTTTAAGAAGAGACTGGACAAGCCACTTGTCTACTCTCCTACTCTACCTCTTCTCCTACCCTATCTCTAATTCTCCTATTCCACCACTACTCCC